TGTGTGTGTGTGTGTGAGAGAAATCATTTTGTGGGATGTCTACGAATTACGGCACATTATTTTTCTTAGGGTATTGCTAAGAATGCTGGATGAGACCAGACTGAACAGTTGGTCGGTGTATGTTTATTCTTCTATACAAAGGAATATTTAAGAACATAATACAGATCTGAATTGTATTAAACAAATAATGATTATTTAGGTTCATTTATGCTCTTTTCTCCACAATTAACACATGATGAAAGCATAACAAAACACAAGACAATCTAAAGCTGGGCTCTGCTAACTTTATGACAGTTCATGGATTCAATAATCAATAAAAACATTGATAATGAAAGTGATAATGAACACAGCATGTGTCTTACTTGGACTCGCTGAACTGTGAAATCACTGCAGGCGATGCGCTCTGTTGAGGAGACATTTTCACTTTGCATTTGTCTGCATCTACCTCGGTCTTCTATTGAGACATCAAACTGTTGAGATGTAGTCAGTGTTTTACTCTGAATTCATTCACTGATGCTGCCCGAACGTATATCTTCAAGTGTATAAATTATATAATCTCTTGCCAACTTTGTTGTTCACCAGTTCACTGAATCTCCTCCGCCTAAAATAAAGTCTACACACTGACTTTGTGCCAGCTTGTTATGTCGTTCCTCGTTTCCTTTGTGGTTTGCCTAATGATGCTTTCATGACTACACATTCATGTAAGGAGCAGTTTTTTTCCCCCGTAGGTGACTCAAGTCTCATGTCTTCAAATACTTTTTACACATACTGCAATGATTCTGCAAGAACCACTAATTATCATTTCTTTACTTTTTATGCATGAAAACATTGTGCGCAGATGTTTTTTTAATTTTTTTATTTTTTATTGTTGTTGTGAAGATCTCCATCAACACTGAAACACCCAAACAACAAAAAAAAGCTTACTATCTTCCTCTCTGCTCATTTTGTTTTCAGTCGGCAAACAACAATCCAACATGTCTTTATCAGCAGGTTAAACCGTTCTCTCCCTTCATATCACTACACAATGGTCACAATGGTCTGTAACATGAACAACATAAATACATGTTGATGACACCAGCGTTACTGTGTGTACAAAGGTATTTAAATGAGTTATTGCAGATATGGTTAGACAAGAAAGGAAGTTGTCTTCTCAACTTCTGCTGCCACACAGCTGCCTATTAGCATAATGTCAATGATTTCCAAAAGCTCCAAGTCACAATAGAACTGCCTTTATGGATTCATCTTCGTTTTGACGGAAGAGATGCGTTGTGAACCTTAGCCGGCTCAGAGATTGTGTGACCAGCTGCTGCATCTGTAAATCAGAAGATAATCACTCACAGACTAAATGAAAGGTGCTGCGTAAATGTGGGCCTCAGGGTTACTTCTCCCTGTCACTCTCCCTCCAGTCATTCAGGTCTGGCTCCACCTCAACCAACACTGTGTGTGTGTGTGTGTGTGTGTGTGTGTGTGTGTGTGTGTGTGTGTGCGCGTGCACTGGTGCTTGTGGAAGTGACAATGGGAAATCACTGCAGCCTGTGTGTGTGCGTCTCTTTTCTGCTCCAGGAACACTCAAACGTGTTCATGTCGGATTGTTAAAATCTGTATCCGGTTTATCACCAAGCAGCTTTTCACAAAGAGAAAAGTAAGAGAAAATACTGCACTTTCTATGACGCCCATGTCTATAAATATACTTAATGTGTTATAATTGGCTTATAGCACTGTGTAATTGGTTATAAGCACTACTAAACATCCATAATGCTTCATAAGCATAATCATAACTCAATATAAAGCATTATGACTTGTAAGGTCAAGTAGCATAATACTCTTTTAATTAATTCAAATTACTGTTAAAATGCCTAATAATGTGATTATAAGTTACTCTAAGTGCTCATTGTTTGCTTTAAGTAAAGTGAACTATCATTTTATCAATGAAAGATCACAAAAAAAATCATTGTTTGATTGACCAGCAATTATGAAGTATTATGATACTTAACCTGATAAATCATGACGTGCTTTATAATGTGATATGTTTATTGTTATAATTACAAATATATACAAGTGCTTATAATTGCACAGTGCAACTGCAGATTATGATGCTTTTCAATTATGGGTGTCACAGAATGTGTCACCAAAATAATGACAAGAAGCCTACTGCCGAGTGTGGATTGTCAAATCATTTTGTGTCATTTCTTCCCCCTAAAAGTATCACTAAATCAAATGCATATGAAAGTATTTATTTATTTGTATGATTAACTCTCCACAGTTCTTCCTTGTTTTCCCAGGTAGAATGACATATTTCAGGGAAGAAATTAGAAAACGTTCAACTCTTACATCCACTTTTTAAGAGCTTGTAACATCATATTACAAGAATGTCCCAAGTTTCAGAGAGAAGGATACTGATGTACTTGATATACTGGTGTACTTCCTTAGCATTTGAATCCATTGTGTGCTGGTCATTTGAAGTGGGACAGACATTTTAACAAAAGTCTGAGATACATTTTCTATTCTTTTCATGAGTGAGAAAGGGCAGTATTATTTCCATAAATCCCGACTTTAAAAAGTCGAACTGACCCTCTACACCTTGTGTCTCAACAGGTAGCAGTCCGGTGATGCCATCCCCACCACTGAGGGAAGTGGACAGGAAGTGAGGGCTATGGAGCGGTTTCTGGATCTGTCAGAGTCTTCCTTTCTTCCCACCTCGTATCCACTGGAGCTGAATGGGGAGGAAACCCAGCAAGTGGACGGCAGCTGGAGTCAAGATGAAGAACCTCGGGGATGTGGCCAGTGAGTGTCTTCCATTGTTTGGCTCTACAGTTTTACAGACCACTCTTTTATCATGGTGCTTCTTGGGGAAAATGGTCTTGTGGTTTGATGTTACTGGGGTTCACTTCCCATGTTCTAAGGTAAATGAGTCTACTGCTGTACATCACTTGATATTACAATTTCAACTTTTATGATTTTAACAAAGTGAAAAATAGGCCTACAAAGAGCTACAGCTCCAAGGAAAATGTATGCGACAGAGCACATACTTGCATAATCATAACTTGCATATTCATGGTGTTCACCCACGCTCTCTTCTCTCATCTTTCCAAGTATGTAGCTTTAATCTCTGCTGTCTACAAAAGTCTGCACCTTTCTGTCCCATTTGTGCTACTGCAGACATATCTGACCTAACCACAGACACTTCACTGCGGTGTCTAAACCGCAGTGGTTCAGGACTTATGGGAAACGGTGTTTGTTAAAGGCCTCCAAAAACAGAAATGGTTACTACATAAGTCAGAGAAGAAACAAGAACTACCATCCCCTCCTAGACAGATGTAATAAATGACTGTTATTATAAGTTAGGTGTTGTAACTTCTGGACCAGAACCTGATGAATCTGCTTTCACTTTGGCTCTTTATTCACCTCATTCTTTGCCTGAACCAGAACCAGGGCGCTTTCGCATTGCGTCATTTTGTAATCTTTCTCCAGTTTTAGAACAAAGGTGCGATTACTTTGCTAAGTGTTGCCAGCGTTATCGTCCTTCACTTGCCAAAAAGCTGTTTTTAAGCTTAAAAATCTTTTAAGCTGTTATTAAAGTAGCCATTTAGTAGCGGTGACCCAACTGGTCAGCAATTTGATCTAAGGAGCCTGATTCCACTACCAATCTCACAGTCGCGTCTTCACAGTGGGGGAAAATGTGGTTATGAAACAAAGGATCATTCCATTCTGGCTATGTAGGGGTGCTGATTGTCTGTTTTTTCTTTTTCAGTGCTTTGGACAGTTCCACACACACACACACACACACATATATAAACTTTGCTGTCCATTATTTTGAAATATAATTCTATAGATAAATAACTCTTAAACAGGGGGATCAGTAAGCAAAAACAAACATGATGCGCCTATGCGTTGACGATAGGCAAGACTTGTCCAATCCGATTCGGCTATATAAATGAATAGTTGGGGCACTGCTACCAGAAGGGCAGAAACCAGTGTTTCCATCATCGTCCCCTGACCCGCTCCCAGTGCTGTGGACAAACTTGAAAAAACGGAATAACATATACAAATGCATTAGAACAGGAGAAGGGGAAAAAATGTATAGGGCAGTATAAGGTGAAGAGAGACACTGCAACCAGACACTTATAACCTCCATGCTTTGAGTCTTTCTGCAGTAGGCTGTTTCACTTCTGCTTTCTTTCCAGATTGGAGAGGAGGTGGGTCCTCTGGCACGAGTTTATGAAAGAACACGCCCAACTGGACAACTGGCTGCGATTCGCCGAGCAAGCTGTCAGTCCCCCTCAGCCCACCCTCGTTACCTATGTCACTGCCAAGGAAGAAATGAGGAAGTTTGAGGTGAGAAGAAATTCAACAAAAGTTTAAATTAGAGGGAGTTCATATTTGAACCCAGACTTTATTTTGTATCATTACAGGATTAAAGGGAAACTATTTTGCATCAAAGCAAATATGAAGACTTTTAACTCTCAATAAAATGCAAAAATATATGTTTTTCATAAAACTTTTTTGCCAAATCCTGATTCATACTGAATCTCTCCTTTACACACTGGGGGTGTTTTTTTTGTGGGGTTAATTCACACTTCGTGTATTTTTTTTAAACTGTTGGTTTTGTCATGAATACTTTTCCAAGTAAGATTAAACCAGATCCACTCCTGTTCCTGCCTTTGGGTGGGGGGGCTCAGAGGTAGAGCGGGTCTCTTTCCAATCTGTGTTTTGATCTCTGGCTCCTCTAGTCAGCATGTTTAGTGTCCTTGGGAAAGATACTGAACCCCAAATGGATCCCAAAAGGCTGTGCCACACTCAGTGTTTGAGTGTGCGTGAAGTGCATTAACTTGAAATGGTCATGGGAAGATGCTGTATGAACTATGAGTGGTCAGAAGACTAGTAGGGCACTGTACAAATGCAAGTCATTTACCTTTTTTGTTTTTTACCACTTTACCTTTCAATACCTTTCAGACAGACTGCCTGCTCTGGTCAATAGGATCCCAGTAGGTGGTCCTCTGCTTGTGGGAATCTATTCAAACCTTTTATTGAAAAAATGTTGCAACTATTGCAAATCTGCATCCCTGCTGTTATAAATACGTAGTCTTTTACATCATTGTCAGAATCAAAGTGTGTGTGTCGGTGTGCGAAATACCTGGTGGCAATTGGTGGGGTCCCCCTACCTAGTCCTCCACTGTTATGCTTACACAGACTAAATAAGCAATGTAGCCTACAAGACACATCACCAAGGCTAATATCGTCAACGGTAAGGCCACTCCCACAAGCAATCTGGCAGATTTCTCTTCCCGTGGTCTCTCTATGGAAAAGACTTGGATAACCAGACCGGAGTTTCTGACAAGGCCTGACACAGACTGGCTTGACATGTCAGATAGTGAATTTCAGCCCCTTGTCAATGACCCAGAGGTTAAACACGCTACGGCTGTGCTCTTACAGTGGAGGAGAGCATGGATTCAATTTGGCTTGTTTTGCATTTCTCAAACTGGTATAGTCTAAATAAAGTTGCAGGACTTGCCAAGCTAAAGAACATACTTAAGATACTAGCTCTGCAGGGCGATTGGCCATCATCAACTTAAAGTTAGATACTTTCAGGACAAGGTGGCTTCAAAACACGGGGTATTCTTGTGTTTCACCTTTCAAGGGATGGCCTACGAGTACACAGACGTTCGTTCAGCGACGTCCTGGCCCAGGCAGGCGCTGGGGTTTCTGTTTCCCATCCGGTGATACCGCTGGGGCTCCTGCACATGTGGCGCCTGTAGAGGTGGCTTGTTTGTTACCTCAGCTTCTCATCTGTGTGTTCAGAGGCTGCGGTGCGAGACCAGGTCTCGGCTCATTCAGTTGGACGGTTTGACCCAGAGGAACCGAACACTGACTCGGCTGTTTCAGGGCGCCATGCAGGCTCGGCTTCTGGCGTCAGCGAGGGAGTGCGGGCAACGATGGGGCGACATGAACACTAAACTGGAATCCATCACTGGACGATTGAAGGTCAGAGCTCCTCCTAATAATATTAAAACAAATATCAGTCTGTCTTTTAAAAGAAAAAGTAAAATGTTTAGTTGAAGAAGTTGTAAAGAAATATTACAGCATTTCCAAACTGTCTTAGCAAAACTGATTTGAAGATGGAGAATCCCCCTTTTTTTTTTTTTTCTCCATCAGCTCTTTGTCTCAGAGTGGGAGGGGTTTGAGGCAGAGAGGGAGGAGCTTGCTCTCTGGTTGGCTGAGCTGGATGTCCGTCTGACCGAGGTGGATCACTTCACAGGAAACACCTGCGAAAAGTTGAGGCAACTGCAGGTGTGTGTGTGTGTGTGTGTGTGTGTGTGTGTGTGTGTGTGTGTGTGTTTTATAACTAAATACCTGGTCATTTTCCTACCTCCTGTATATTGTAATATTTGTGTGTGTGCTTGTGTGTAGTCTTTCCAGCAGAGTGTGTGTGTGAACTCGGTCCGTGTGAACGACCTGCTGGAGCGCGGCGAGGCCTTGATCCAGCGCAGCGAACCGACTGATGCTCAGCGTGTGGAGAGTCGCCTGCTGGAGCTGCTGCGGAGCTGCAGCCTCGTCTACAGCAACATCACACGAACGCACACGCGGCTGCTGAGCATGAGACTGGTACACACACACACACTGTGACAATACACACAGATGTAAATATACATGAGGGGTGGAGGGAAGATCACATACAGGCAGGTGGTTGTACGTTTTTTCTTTTTTACTTTTACAAATATAAATACACATTTATCCTGCAGCCACGTTTATACACACATAAGGATGAAGATATTTAAGCCACTAGCCTATAAACATTCACAGTCATCAAGGTCAAAGGATATCTAGAAGTACTAAGTCAGTTAGTCTTACAGTAGTAGCCCACTTATTTAATATTGCACTCAGTTTAATACAATAAATATGCTGACTTTCAGTCCCTGGGTCATTCTTCAAAAACACAGGATCCTACAATTCCCACAATGCAACTCAAAAGCATATTTTCTCATACTGTCCCTGCTTGTTAACCCTCTGAACCCCAAGTAGTTCCGGGTCAATTTTTTTTTTAGCTCCTGTCGCATTTAACTCACTGTGGCCTCATTTTTCACTGAAATATATAAGTCTGTCTTTTGTACATTATAACGCAGTAAAAAAAATTGATTTGATATCTTAATTTATTTTACAAAAATTGAAAAACAATGGTATATACAAACATTTCCCCACAAGTATTATTAATATTAGAAAGAATATACATGCTATAAGTAATTACTATTACATTGTAACTATTTATATGTTACAATGCCTACTTGCATCCTCCCCTCTGCTCTGTGTAAACAGCCTGTAGGTCAGTCAAAGTTTCATATTCAATCAGGTGACTGTCTCAGATGAGTCATTCAGAATTAAATGTTTTTTACACAGTCTGGTTAGAGCAAAATCTTTTTGTTTTTTGCAATTTTTTAAAATGTTTGACAATAAAGTGATTTTAAAGAAATACCTCATTTAAATTTTTGATTTGGTTGCTTGGCGGAAGCGTTAGTCACACATGATGTGTTCAAGGACCGCTGGAAAATTGAAATTCCGACGATAATGTCTGTTTTTACAGCTTCTGGCTATGATAAATGGTAAACATTTTTTTTTTTAATGCTTTTCAAACCTGCCAGCTTGTTCTGGGTTCATCTTTCAAACTCTGTATCTCCAGTTTACATTGCTGACTCAAGATAACTCTGACAAAGTCCTCTCTCCACTGGTGGCATGCTCTTTTAAAAACGTGTCTTCACTCACAGTACTTATACATATTTAATAAACTACTACTCATTTAAAAAAGGAGCAATGTGCTTGTCAGGGGATTCCATTTATAATTAGATTTTGTGTTGTGAAGGACTGAAGCAGCCCCTGGTCTCTTTCCTCCTCTGCCCACATCAACGTAGTTTTGTTTGTTGAGATTTTACATAAATATGATGACCTCATAAATGATGACACACATAGAATATAATACACAACAGTACAACGTAATTAAAATGACCATCCTAAATCCTGCTACACCATAAAAAGCTGTTTATTGCACCAGTAATAACTGCTTCAATAATATAAAAATGAATATACAACACTTTAAGTACTTTTCTAAAGTACTTAAAGGTTGCCAATAGTACTTCTGTACAGAGTGAAGGACTCTGTGGAGATAGTGATATTACTACTTATACTTAAATGAACAAACTAAATTCTTACTCCACCACCGTACATCAGTTTGCCTCCTCCTCTTCCTCCTCCTCCTCCTCCAGGTGTTTGAGGATGACTGGATTCTGTCTCAGGCTACAGACTCTGGTTGTCCTTCAGAGACTCTATTAGAGGAAGAGGGAGCATTTAATGTAACCAACCTGGACCTCCCTGCATTTCCAAACCATCCTAAAGGTAAACCAACATAATAAACATTTAATTGCATGTATAAGATTAATCATGAATGTACGATATTTAGTAAAGATCTGTTTCTGCATCCATCAATCGGCTAACCCCACCCTGGCCTTCTCCTCACCCGTTCACCTCCCTCCTCCTCCTCCATCCCCAGTCTCTCCTACCCATGAGCACCTGGGGCTGGAGTGGGACCCCTCCGTCGATATCGGACGCTCTGTCTTCCATGACGACGCTGACTCGTCGTATTTCAGTGCCAGCACAGGTAGGAAGTGACAGAACATTTTCAAAAAGACAGAGTACAGGTCTTTTCTATTTTTTTTTTTTTTTTGTTGGCCTTTTGACTCTTGTTATTTCGTTTCTTAGTAGTTTGAGATCTACCACTCTGTGTGTGTGTGTGTGTGTGTGTGTCTGCCTGTGCAGGTCTTTGTCACAGAGATGGTGTGAAGAGGCTGGGCTCGCTCGGCTCTCAGACTAATAGCAATGACATCACCAATCAGCAAGCAGATCTGGTGAGTGACAACAAACGTCTTTGTTTTTCTGATTTAAAAAAATGAAATAAATGAATCCATTCAATGTGGTTTGATGGAAAAGAAGAAAATTCCAGACAACAAAGGTTTCAAGTTTGTTAATGTCCGTTATGCACAACAATTGCATCTGTCATTGGCTCCCCCCAGCAGTGCTCGTAAAATAAGAATAAAAGAAAACCTTCAAGTCAATATCTAACTAGAATGTTTAAACAATGGGGTTTTGTATTTCATTTTTGACATTGCTGGGCTTTTCTCAAAACATCAACTCAGATTATATTTATAATGCTCTCGAGCTGCAACAATAGTCAATTAATCAATGAGTGGTCAACTACTGAATTAATTGGCAACTATTTTGATAATTGATTAATCGGTTTGAGTAATTAAAAAAATATGAATATTTTCTGGTTTCTCTGCTCCTCTATGACTCTAAACTGAATATTTTAAAACGAGACATCTCATCATCTTGGGCTTTGGAAAATACCGATCGACATTTTTCACCATTTTATAGACCAAACAACAAACAAATAATCGATTCACACCACATTCTAACACAGAATACAATATTGTGTTCATACTGGAGGAACTACCAACAAAGTCGAGCCCTAATCCATTTTTCTAATTTCTTTTGGTTATCATGATGAGTCCCTTTGTTAACCATCAGATAGTGTAACTGTGGGCCGTAGGGCACGGTCACACCAGCGCAAAATACATTGGTGAATATTCGCCTTCCGTTCACCTCCACTCAAGTCGGGGGAAAATACAACATTTACTCCCGGTGACCATGAACATTTGGATCTTTGCATCACGTGGAGTTCAAATTTGGTGAACTCTCAACCAATAGCAAAGACGTGTGCGGTTGAACCCACTTGACAGCTCCTTTAACCAAACAAATTGTCAGTTTGACTAATACAAAAGGTTTACACACAGGAACAATCTAACATTTCATATAGAGTTTTATTGGTGGCTGTCTTATAGCTGTAAAGATTTAGTCGTCATTGTTTTGTTTACTTTGATTAGCAAGAGGTGCTGAAATGATTTGACCGAACTTATTAACGTGTAAAAACCCAACTGAGAAGAAGACGCCACATCAGGCCTAAATATGAACAAAACCACGTGGTGTTTTTCTTCTAATTTCTGTTGTTCTGCCCTAACCCAGATGCTACATGGCCCAGAGGCTTCGTCTGTCTGTTTCTATCACACACACACACACACACACACACACAGTCACTGATGTTCCGATACACCAGCTATCTAAAGATGTTCTCCATTGCTATAGTGTCCGCTTTATGAGCTGGTTGCAACAGTTCACCTCCTCTTCTGCTGATTTATTGATGACGCCTGCGGGATGTGGCACCTCTTGTTATCAGTTTCCTTTCTTTTAAGCTTTATTCTGGCAAGAAAACCTGAGTGTGTGAGCAGCTCTACGAGAGAGGCAGAGGGAAGCTGAAGAACAGACAAAAAGAGAGGGGAAATAAGACAGCATCCATGATTTTGGGGGGGGAGACGAGAACGGAACACTTTGAAGTCATTTGAGTATCCGCCTCTGGTAGCCTGCAGCTCCCCCCTCTCTCTCTGCCTTTCTGTATATTTCTCACACACTGTTGCACTGTTGGTGAACCCCAAAACCCAACTGGAACAGAGAGACGCACGTAAAACTGAATTGGCATTTGATACAGCTGCAGCATCCCAACAAAGACATCAAAGTGTTTGCACACTTGTCATCCTACTGTATTTATTTCTTTTACATCTATTTATTGGACGCGTAGAGGCGTGATGTCGGTATGCTGCATGGATTCTGGATGCAACTAAAAAGATGTGCCTGTAGAGGACCAACTTACAACTTCTTGCTTCAACTTTTCTTTGCAAGTAGAAGAGTGATCCATGTGTTCCCTGTGTGCTGTTACGGAAGAGAGAGCATCATGTTTACAGCACACAGTACAGTTATATTGCAAAACTGTTTTGATTTCCTATAACTGTATATTTATTGCATATGCAATATCCAGCAAATGTTTAAATACTAAGAAATCTAAAGTTGGTCGAAGTTTTTTTTGGTGTGCAGCGAGCCTTGATTCTTGCCAAATTGCATGCGTTTTACTACCACCTGACTGCATAGTGCTGCTGTGCAGCGGAATTCTCACTTGCTAATAGAGAATCACTTTGATGATGAAAGCCATCTGAAGATCCAATGTAGTGGACAGCAACCAAGCATGGTCATTGTCATTGCCAACCAAATGTCCCCCTGGGGATGAATCAAATATCTATCTTATCTATTTAGCTATCTTGTTGAGTGAAAGATTGTAAATGTGTTTATTTTTTTTTTAGAAGGGAAAACATTGAATGCAGCAAGCAGGAGTGCAAGCACACAACCAAGATTGAAGAACTATTTACTGTGTTGGATTTTAATAGTGTAAATGGTAAATGGACTTGTACTTGTATAGTGCTTTTCTAGTCTCCTGTTAATTTCCACATAATGATGCCAAAATAAAATAAAAGAATAAGCATTAACAGGCTGGATCATCATGAGGAGATGACTGGAGCAAAACGATCCATTTTCATAATTAAGTCTTTAGTTTAAATGATGTGTTTTCTGTCCAGCAAATGGAGGGATGGCTTGACCACGCCCACCCCAGTGTCCCCGTACCAGTAGTAACCCAGAGGGGCGGGACTCTGCCAAATGGAGAACATTGGGCGACCTCGACTCCTGACCGACAGGACGGTGAGCCCCTCTGCTTTGACGGTGGGCGCGTGAGGGCGTGGCTGGGTGTCCAAGGTCCCGCCTCTCCAGAGAGGACGACTTCCTGTTCCAAGGCCGTGCAGACTGATGTGGAGGTGGGTCCCCTGTGTTCACACTTTTTAAATATATTTCCCTTGTCAAAAGATTTTTTTTTTTCATTTTTTTTTTGGTTGTTTTCATTCATCTTCAATTTTATATTACAGTGCATACTAAAACATAACATTTAGCCCTATTTCTGACCAAAATCCCTCAAATTTGATATAGATTGCAGGGGGGTGGGGGGCTATCTTATAACACCAGCAGGTCTAATTATGTCCTGATTAAGACCTACACTGTATGGTGTTGTCCATCTGTAAAAATATGTGGTCCAGAGCAGGATATCTGATACCCAGCAGGTCACATTACAACAAAATCTTTCTCACCTTTGCTCTCCCATCACAATTTAGAAAAATGAAACTATCACTAATCTTGAATTATAATTTATTTGACAGCACTAAATTTATATTTTAATTCTATTTCAAAGATAAATATGACCATTTCTTTAAATTGTAAAAGACATCCCATGAAAAAACCAAAACCAGCAGTGAATACATGTCCTAACAAGTTGTGTGTGTGTGTGTGTGTGTGTCAAAGCCTAATATATTGTCTTCCTCTGTGCCATAGAGCTCCATTAAAAACACACTAATGAGCCACACGGTCCTTCATTAAAATGAACTCACACAGTTTATTTTGACTCTGACATACACCATCCTGCTGCCACACACACTCACTAGTGCACCAAATGTGGATTAATCTGCCGCTGAAAATAATCCCCAACAGACTCACTATTTCCTCTTGTTTGATTAAAGCTACACTGACCACCTGTTTTAGGAAATGACTGACTGTATATTTGTGTTTTTAAAGATGTATGTCTTAAGTTGGAACCAATGGGCTTGGAGCTGACAGTCACAGACAGGAAGTCAGACAGTATTGAGAAACGGACTAACACATTGACGGTTTGAGTCTTTTTATGAGATTTGTGGGAAATTACAGTTTGGCACATGACCTTCACTACATACCTGTAAAGTTCTGTGACTGAACCTTAAACTGTGGCCTCTGTGCTAGCTCCTGCTACAGTAGGTGTCCTCACAACCACATTTTGCCATAATGACACATACACAGACTCACAAGGTGAGAACAATACTCTGTCCTGACTGGTCCATTTAGAATAACACTAGCTTTATTGTCTCGGAAGTCTTTTTTTTTTTTTTTTTTTTTTTTAAGCTCAGCTTGTTTTCCTGTGCAGTTCAACATTAACATCCAGCACATGGCATCACATGAACATGCGTGTGTAAAGACTCCTGACCTGACTCCCGAGACATGCTCACGTCCTCACACTCTCTCTACACACATTTATTCTCTCAAGCTGTTTCGGCAGGTTTTGAGTACTTGAGTACTCAAAAGAGTATTTTGAGTATTTGAGTACATTGCAGGAGGGAACTATTTTTTGACGAGCAAGCTATAAGAGAAGAAAATAAGTTGGTCTGGAAACTAAACTATTTACTTTAAATTAGTGCTGGGCAAGTTAACGCGTTAATTTCGCGTCAACGCATTCATTAATTAACGTCGACAATTATTTTATCGTGCGTTAACGCATTTCTTAATTTATTATGATTTTATTTATTTTTTATTTATTTTTATTTTTTATTGAAAGACGAGACAATACATATACATAACAACAAGAGGATGACAAGAACAGTGGGATAAAAGCCAGCAAACATCCTATAGTCAGTAATTTTAATGTAAATTCACGGTAAACGCATTTAAACGGCACAGATCGGGAGCGAGCGAAGGACTTTGAAAGTTAGCGGAAAGATTAACGTGAGACAACATCCGGTTTCTTCAGACGAACATCCGGTTTTCAGAATAAGATGCCAACAAAGTATGAATTATATTCACATTAATTATAAAACATGCTACCTGCATCTCGTGAACCAAATGTTATTGCCCTTTTGTTCATATAGCAGTACTTTTAAAATAAAAGTGCGCAATACACTACTTTTGAATACATTATTGAACTTTGCCATAACAATGCGATTAATCACGATTAATCGCAAAAAATCCATGCGATTAATCGCGATTTAAATATTTTAATCGTTGCCCAGCACTACTTTAAATTCATTTGACACTGAAATACCTGCGATGCTCATTTTAAAAACAAGTTAATTTGCTAACATATGAAATGTGTTGAAATGTCACAGATTACAGTATCCTTACTGAAAGCGTTGGGTCCATGGGCGGGGCTTAGGGCTCAGTATCCTGGGAAACTGATGTGAGTCCCAACAGATTGAGGCCATGAAATTCGGTTCAAACATTCATGGTCCCCTTACGATGAATTGTAATAACTTTGGTGATCCTCCAACTTTTCATCCAGCGCCATAATCAGGTCAACATTTGAATGTGTTCAACTCTTAAGTTTATGGCCAAATACCTGCAGAGCTAATGGAGTTCTCATCAGCGTCAGCTGTACTTTGTGTTTACTGATAATTAGCCAATGCTAGGTAAACATTATACCTGCCAAACATCTGTGTGGTGGCATTGTCATTGTGACAATTGTAGTATGTTGACGTTACCCTTAAGTTCAAACCCCCATGGTGAGTGAAGTGGTTCGTACGATGTCTTGCCCCCGTTATTCAGAAATGTGTGAGGGGAGGGCAGCTCTGATGTGTACTGGCCTCAAGTCTTGTTCAAGTTTTGGGGTCCAACATGATGACACTACACCTCTAGGTCAAGTTGAACAGATTATATTCTGGCTGCGAGCAAAAAGTATTTTTTTGCTTAGTAAGGTGCCTAACTGAGTAAAAGGGTCGGGGTTAGAAGACTCAAAGTGGCAGCCATGATAAGAGCTTGTCGAATCCTCTAAATGTTAAGGAACGTTGCTTCAAGGAACACGGGACCATCATTCATGAAATAATTCCTTGCGACAGCAACATTTAACTATTCAGCTGTTTAAATTGCACACTATGGATATATATGTTTATACACAAAACATCCTTCTTAATGCTTTTACACAGCGGGGGTGTGACGAATAAACATGACAATTGGAAATACTCGACTGCGATTATTGTGCATCAAAAGTGTTCATACCAGCAGCGATGGGGTTTGAATAGATTTACGCGGCAGAGGACCAACTACTGGGATCTTATTGACCCAGAGCAGCGTCTGGCAGCCTTTCTGAGGTCAATTGTTGTATGGCCTAAGCTAATGAGTGGATTTTAGCACCATCTGGTTAATATTTACGTAGTGTATATGTCTAGGACTTTTATTGTGAAAAGTAAGAATGGAAGGGGTGATCTGGTGTCCACTACCTTTGTCGAGGTTGAAAGGAGTAATAGAGTTGGCTTCCTTGGTTTGGACTGCGGAGCCTCCATGTTGTTGTACAATATAGTGTACTTTTTGAATCTCTGTTCAACAAGTGATTGGTTGATGCTCATCAGGGAGAAAATAGAAACATTTACGAAGCTCTGAAAGAAATAGTGATGCTTTTTTTTGCAGTGTAACATTCAAGTTCTGTGTGATATTATTAATGGCAAACACATTTAAAAATAATCTATAGAAATGTGAATTAAACACACACACACACACACACACACACACACACACACACACACACACACATAAAGCCCCTTGGACAGAATCCTTATTTGTATGCATTGAGTTTGTCACTGTTCTCATTTTATGTGTTATAAATAAACTTACTTACTTAAAAATAAAGTCACAAAGACACATCGGTAGTGTCACAAATGTCACAAAAATCTAATTCTGGGCCCACAAGGTCCTAAATACATGTACAGTTAGCTGTCCTACACACACACACACACACACACACACACACTGTCTATCTTTCTCAGTTTAACTAGCATTGTAAAGACAAGTTCCAGCACACACGGAGTGATGGCCTCTCTCACGAGAAGCACCATCAATATTTATAATCATCAGCCTTTATTTTTCCATCGTTTGCAAAGACAGATTACTGAATAACTGTCCTCTATGATCCCTCCCCCTCTCTGTTTTCTCTTTCCGGCCTCTCTCATGTTTCTCTCTCTCCATCAGACTTCATTTTCTCACCCTCTCTCATTACCGGTGAAAGCAGCGCCTATTTATTCTCCTCTTCCTCCCATCGTCCGTCGCTTCACGGCGGCTCTTGATTTATGCATCGAGTCTGGCTGCACTTTAACTGTCGCCATAAAAAAGGAGAGAAACACGCAGACTTCCTCTCCTCTTTCCTTCCTCCTCTAATCCCTGTTTTTTCCTCTGTCTGATTTACAACCAGTTACAGATAACTGTCCGTTTATAGGAAAGGGAGATGAGCAGACTGCAGGCAAACAGAAGGAAGGAAAGTTTGTAGATGAGTTTTTTCAGAGTCAAATCCGATAGGTGTGTGTGTGTGCGAGAGAGATTAGAGCGATTTTGTGCACACTCATTTGCAATATGCGGGTTTGATTGAACGTGTGTTTGTGCGTAATAGCTTTGGCACTTTCTAATGGAGGTTCATTGCTGCCAAAACTATCGAGCGAGCGCAAAACAAATTAGAGCAGAAATCAGCCTGCAAGCCCAGATTTGTGAGCAGCGAAGGAGAGAATCTGGAGTTTAATCGATGTTTTGGAGCAGCTTGTCTACAAACTCGGACTGAGAGCAGAACAACCTCTGATTCATTTGAAGCATCGTTCTCTGCCGCCTCCTCCTCCTCAGTGTGCTCCATCAGCTCTTGGGTGAAGTTATGCCGCTTTTTAAAGGAACCTAGCAGAGCTGGACGACATCTCATCAACTCAGTTTTTGACTTGAAACAGATACCAAAACCGCAAATGTGACTTTTGGTGTGTATGTGTATGTATATATATGTATGTATGTATATATGTATATATGTGTATATATGTATATATGTGTATATATGTATATATGTGTATATATGT